ATAAGTAGCTATAAGAGGAACCCAGAAGCAAAATAAGTACCCTAAACCCCAAACCGTAAACCCTCAACCCTAAACCCTAAACCCCTAAACCCACATACGACGTGTGGGCTTCAGAAGGAGCCTGATCGAACTTGTAGCTCTCGCGGTTGTAGGAGAAAAGCTCCTCCAGGGTTCAAGGCTTTTTCAACGAGGGGGAGAGTCGTTCGGGTTTCCGAAACCCTAAACCCTAAAAGCTAAAATTCTGGACCCCAAATCCTAGCCCTAAACCCTAAACTTATAGAGCTTCGGAGGGAAGAGGCGCTGGCTCCAAGTAGTCTTGACCTAGGGCTTTAGGCTTGAGGGGTTTTGCTTCTCTTGTCCCAAACATACTAACTAGACGTAGGCATTGCCCGACATAGGGTCCAGGGTTTCGGGCTAAGGGCTTAGGGTCGTTAGGGGTTAGGGTTTAGGGTTTAGGGTTGAAGGTTTAGGGTTGAAGGTTTAGGATTACCAGAACCAAGAACGCCAACAACAAAGAGAAGACCGGTCCTACTTGGAGCTCCAGGGTGCTTAGTAACCAAGGACTTAATTATAGTAGGGTTTAGGGTTCAGGGTGTAGGGTTTAGGGTTTAGGGTACTTATAACCCACTTACAAGCCCCTCAAGTGCCCTAACATGGATATAAGTACAGTTATAAGCAGAGGGGGTGGGGGGGGAACAACAACCGGCAAACCCCCAACATGGTGCCCCGAATCTCAGGAAAACACGCAAGTGGTATGGAACAAGGAACTAAAAAGTTGAACTCTCACTGGACACGTGAACCCTGAACCCTGAACCCAAGGGACGATAAGTGGGCTCTAGACCCTAAACCCTGGGAGGGGAATTGAGGGAATGTAGATTTAAGTTGCTTAGCCGGAACCAAAAAAAGCCCCCCCCCCCCCCCCCCCCCCCCCACACTTAGGAAAAACTGTACACCGGACCTCACCCCACACCCGATACCCTAAACCCTAAGCCCTACACGCTGCCAGCGGTAAGGGGCCCTAAATTCCTAAACCCTCAACCTCTCTGACTTGGAGGTTCATGGTACTTGTTAATCAGTTCGAACTGTACTTATACCCCGATTATAAGCCCCTTAAGTGCCCTAGTATGGTTGCAAGTACAGTGATATTACGTTGTCCAGTAACCTGGGGGAATTAAAGGTTAGCCTGGGATTTTATGGGGATTCGAACACCCCAAAAAAGTTAAGGGTTACTTACTCTACTACGAAGTATAAGTACAGTACCCTAAACCCTAAACCCTAAACCCTAAACCCTAAACCCTAAACCCTAAACCCTACATTGGTTCATAAGTACCATGAACCTCCAAGTGTACCCCAGCGCCTTGGCCCCAAGACCGATAGCTGCGAGTATTTCCACCATCGCCTCTCCTGCCGCGGGCTTATAACCCCAACACACATGGACTTAATTATGGTAGGGTTTAGGGTTTAGGGTTTAGGGTTTAGGGTTTAGGGTTTAGGGTTTAGGGTTTAGGGTTTAGGGTTTAGGGTTTAGGGTTTAGGGTTTAGGGCTTGGGGCTTGGGGTTTAGGGTTTAGGGTTTAGGGTTTACGGTTTGGGGACTTAGGTATCAACCCTCAGATCCCTGGAAAACTACGCCCCGGGTTGGCTTAGAACTAGTTCCGGCTTTCAATCCTATGGGCCTATGGCGGCCTATGGGGGGGGGCAGCCGGGACCAGCAGTGCATTTCAAGGGAGTGCATTGTCTGACCATAATCCACCGTGCCTAGTGATATCGGTTGCCAGCTTTCGCAGTAGAAAACGATTCAAATCAGTGACGATTCAAATTGAAAAACGTTGTGTTGAAGTTGTAGCTTTGTGTTCTGTGCCGACTGGAAACGGTGATGTTTCGTCTTTAGTCTCAAGATGATGAACGTTGCACACTCAGAAAACGTAGCTAATCGTAAATAGTTTTGTTGTTGCATTGTTGCATTTTGGATCTTTGCTGTCTGACAAGTCTGACAAGTCAACACACTGGCAGACGCAGGCGGCTGCTTGTTTCTTGATGCTCGCAGTCTCTGGGCTTCGGGTCGGCCACGGCGGCTTCACCTTAGCAAATGAACAAGTGCAGTGCAAGTGCAAGCATGTATGGCTTTCATGGCTGCGCAGTCTGCAGTTTCACAGTGTTTCACATCGGCACATGTGCAACGCATGGTTTCACCGTTTCACCCCAGTGTGCGATCATGTGTCATGTGCATCACGCGTGCTCCATGCATTCGACTCTTCGACATTCAGGAAACAGTGCAGGCGAAGCAAGTCAAGCTTTGCAACTGCAACTCTGCATGTTTTTCCCATCCCGCCATACCACTGTCGAGTCGCCTACCCCCCTCATCCGACAGTAATCCGGCCAGCTGAGCACATACGTGTGGTACGGCAGTGTGCACCAGTTCACGAATCACAGTGTAGTGCTTGTTATTGCGTATCAGACATGTGTTCGAGCACTTCGAGCACCACAGTAGTGTCTCAGAATGCGAAGTAATGGCTCAGGGAACCGTGTGGCGTGTGGTATGTCGCTGACTGACGCGGCTGGAACATAGAGCAACTGCTCGACTGTTGCAAGCTCAGTACGAAACAAACAACCGTGCCACCAGCGCAGCGCACCACCAAATGCAGCCACATTGACTTCTGCTGACTTCACTCATGACTCCTACTGCTACTCCTACGATCCTACGACTCCTACTGGTGTCGCCGTGCCTGATTTCAGACACCTGACCACCTGACCTAAATTTGTGCGGACGAGACTGTGTGCACTCCATGATAGCACAGTAGGTGGGTTTTTTTTGTCAGGCATATCCTCATCTCACAGCCCACAGCACAATCAAAACAATGCACATGATGACCACACCTTATCCCTGGAGCAGTGGAGCAGTCCCGGCCGCATCTCACTTGAGCAAAAATGCAATGTCCTTGTCACCCTTGTCGCCTCCCCTTGTCGAGGAGTGCTTCAAGTCAGACACAATTAAGTCGCCTTCTGACTTCGAGTTCTTGGCATTCTTCTGTGGCTTTGCCATTTCGGCAAGCGCTGCGCCACCGCTCAAGCTTGCCTGTGCCTTGCTCGCGGTCCCAGCAGCCTGCTTCTTCTTATTCTTCTCTTCTTTGAAGAGGGAGCGAGACAATGCCACCTTCGTGCAGTTGTAAGAATCTCCTTTCATTTGCTTCAGCGCTGCCTGCAGACGGCGCATGCAATCACACCACAGCCCATCTACACTCACTCAATCGCACCAACTGTCCCCCACGCAGCTGCAGGATGATATCGTTGGTGTTGTTGTTGTTGTTGTTGTTGTTGTTGTTGTTGTTGCTGCTGCTGCTGGTGTTGTTGCTGTTGCTGTTGCTGTTGCTGTTGCTGTTGCTGTTGCTGTTGCTGTTGCTGTTGCTGTTGCTGTTGCTGTTGCTGTTGCTGTTGCTGTTACTGTTGGTGTTGTTGTTGTTGTTGTTGTTGTTGTTGTTGTTGTTGTTGTTGTTGTTGTTGTTGTTGTTGTTGTTGTTGTTGTTGTTGTTACTGCTGGTGTTGCTGTTGTTGCTGGTGTTGCTGCTGTCGCTGCTGTCGCTGTTGTTGATGTTGTCGCTCTTGTTGCTGTTGTTGATGTTGTTAGATGTTGTTGCTGTTGTTGTTGTTGTTGTTGTTGTTGCTGTTGCTGTTGCTGTTGCTGCTGTTGTTGTTGCTGTTGTTGTTGTGGATGCGGTTTGTGGTTATGGTCCAGGCATTGATGTTGTTGCTGTTGCTGTTGCTGTTGCCGTTGCCGTTGCCGTTGCCGTTGCCGTTGCTGTTGCTGGCGTTGTTGCTGCTGCAAATGCTGCCGCTGCTGCTGCTGCTGCTGCTGCTGCTGCTGCTGCTGCTGCTGCTGCTGCCGCTGTTGTCGCTGTTGTCGCTGTTGTTGTGGTGGTTGTGGTGGTTGTTGTTGTTGTTGTTGTTGTTGCTGTTGCTGTTGCTGTTGATGTTGCTGCTGATGCTGCTGCTGCTGCTGCTGCTGCTGCTGCTGATGCTGTTGTTGTTTGGTGCTGTTGTTGTTGTTGTTGTTGTTGTTGTTGTTGTTGTTGTTGTTGTTGTGGTTGTTGTTGTCGTTGTTGTTTTTGTTGTTGTTGTTGCTGCTGCTGCTGTTGCTGTTGTTGGCGTTGGCGTTGTTGGCGTTGTCGGCGTTGTCGAGGTTTTGGTTGTGGCTGCAGTTGTGTATGTTGTCAGTTGTCAGTTGTGGTTGTTGTTGGGAGTGGTGTTGTCGCTGTGGTTGTGGATGTGGTTGTGGTTGTTGTGGTTGTTGTTGTTGTTGTTGCTGCTGTTGCTGTTGCTGTTGCTGTGGTTGTGGTTGTGGTTGTGGTAGTGGTTGTGGTAGTGGCAGAGGTTGTGGTGGTGGTTGTTGTTGTTGCTGCTGCTGCCGTTGTTGCCGTTGTTGCCGTTGTCGTTGTCGTTTTCGTTTTCGTTGTCGTTGTCGTGGTCGTGGTCGCTGTCGTTGTCGTTGTCGTTGCCGTTGTCGTTGTCGTTGTTGTTGTTGTTGTTGTTGTTGCTGCTGCTGTTGTTGTTGTGTCGTGGCATCAATCCAGGGCCTGCGTAACCGTAACAACAGCACCCACTCACGCCTTCGCGTCGTCGATTCGCTGTGGATCCGCCCTCAAGATGTTGTAGTGCATGTGGACTTGCACCGTGCTTCCAGTCCTCTAGACAATGACATGACGCACACACAAACAAACTCCGCACACTGCAGGCAAACAACTGATCACGACACGTGAATGTGATCGGCTGAGTAGGCTGAGTAGCGCCGCTGGGAAGCTCATGGTGTGTTCTTCAACTTCAGCAATCATCAGCGGCGGTGTCTTGCTTTCGTCAGGCAAAGGTTTGATCATCCAGCCCACACAAGGAGCTGTGCTGCTGCTCTTGTCGAACCCGGTCGGGGCAAGGTAGAAGCTGACGGTCTGGCCACCAATTGTTGCTGTTGCAGCCTCTGGACTCTAGACTCTGCAGCTGACCACTCGCGACTCATGACTCATGTATGCCATTGCGATTGCTACAAAGACATAACATGATCACATGCTGCTGCCCGGAAGCCAATGGGTAATTGTTTTTGGGCCCCATATCCGTCACCACCTGACCGAACATCCAGATCTTGAGCTCAGGCTGAGGTTTGTCTCCAGCATCTTCGACCTTACTGAGGTCAATGGTGACAGCAGCCTTCGTGCCCTGAGCATAGTCGATGTAGAGTATGTCCATGATGTGCTTGTCTGACGCCGACAACCTTGACAACATGAACAGGCACACCGTTGACAAGAGGACAAGGGGTATGCTCAGCTCTACAATCTACTCGCTGCGCCGCTGCACCTATTCTTGTGTGTCTGCGACTAAGCAGGAAACGCCTTGGCGTACAAGTGCGTTGAAATCTGCATCTGGATGCTCAACACATCCAAGACGTTGAACGGCACATCGCCAGTAAAGACATAGACGTCGGACAAGCGAACAAGAGAACCGCCACACGCAAATGGCTCTGAAGCAGCGCCGGGGTGTGCATCGCCTTTTGTTCGTGGTCCAGGACTGAGAACCTCATCTTTCACGGATGGTTGGTCTGGTCGGCCAAGCATGTACTTGAACTTTGCTGGCACATCTAAGCCGAGATCACCCACAGTCAGAGCTGACAATCTGCTCTGAAATTCTTCAGGGCCTGCTGACCCCATCTCCAACCCTATGGTCTTTGTCAAAAGCTTGCTCCACCCGGTTGCCCAATCTGTTTCGTCTGCCACCATTGTCGCGAGCAACATCTCCAGCTGCGTGGACACCGGCAAGTCACTGTCACCCTTGACGGCATTGGCCGGTTCCATTATCTTCAGCAACGCGTTGCAAGCAGATTGGAGACTCTGTGCTTGACAGTCCGCGAAGCGGCACTTCCGTGTCGGATTCTGTGACAGTGCCCCAAGCACTTTGGGAATCATTGTGAGCAAGTATGCGGGCCGCATTGCCGTCAGCGCTTCCAGCGCTGCATTGTTGGGAACCATCACAACATCTGCTTCAGCAGCATCTGCGTCTGTGGCGGCGGTTCCTGTCTGTGCGGCAGGCGTAGCATCCTTGCAACACAAGAACTGGCAGAATGCAGGAAGTGGTTCTGCAGCTGTGATTGACGAGCATGAGCTGGGTTGAGGCTGCTGGGATTTTGCGAACCTGACTGCCAAGGCGACTGCAAATGTTGGCACAGCGCATGGCACACTCTCGTAGATGGCATCAGCACTCCACCAGACAAGATCAGGGATGGTCACGCTCGCTCCGGAGTGAATTGGACAAGCAGTTGTGTCGCGACGACACTTGCAAAGCTTGCTGCTCAACTTGTTCATGGCCGTGCAGAAAGCCGAGTGCTCTGCATGATTCTTGGATCCATTCGCAGCCAGCCACTTTCTGACAGCCTCAGCACTCTTCTCAGTCATGAACAACGCCACCGACCTCTCCCCCGGGTTCGACGCTCCTGCCGTGAGCGACTCACGGGCACATTCACTTGCCATGGCAGCAACACCATCTCTGGTGGACGTAGCCATGACTGATCTGGACCGCGCGATGCCTTTCCGGATTGCATCTTGCACCAGGGGGCGTACCTGTGACCACACCCTCTTTGGCTTGCCCCCGTTGACAATGACAGACCCGTGGAACACCAGCTCAACTGCAATGCCCAGTGCTTGCTTCAAAGCACTGCGATGCGCCGGGTCCATGAGCGTGTCCAGATCACCTAACTTCCGCAACACAGTAACAAACGATGCACTAATGATGCAGGCACACACACGTCAGATTGCATCGGTGGTACAACTAGATCAAGACTTCAAAGGTGCAAACAACAGACCTGCCGCGTGCACGAGCGATGCAATGACATCGTCGATCCACCATCGCTTTCGAGTGCATCCTCCTGCCTGTTCAACGTCTGCGACAACGGCTTCTGCATCTTCCCGGTCATCCTGTGTCTGTTTGGCTTTAGCCTTAGCCTTGCTCTTCGCAGCCACTCGCTTCTTCTTTTTTGGAACAAGCAAGTCAGACACATCCACAATCTGCTCATCTGTGGACTGCTGTGGGCGGGAAGACGTCCGGAAGATCTTGGCCACGAAAGCTCCACCACCAATCTCTGTCTTCATTCGATCGATCGTTGATGGCATGTGCTTGGTGAAAGCCCAGTCTGGCAACGGTGGCTCGTCCGGTGTGCTGGGGTCTCTGACAAGAGGAACCTTGGCACGCATGCAGTTTGAGATCGGTGACACATTCAATGCGCAACGGATTCAACGGCCGACATTGCCTGAGCTTCTGGCCAAATGTCGGCATGCAGCCATGAAAATCTGCGCCAGCAAGTTCGTGTCGTAGGTGCCCACAAGTCCAGCGATGATTTTTCCGAGACTGTGAAAGTTTTGGAGAACCGCCAAGGTCTGCAAGGCGTTGTTCTCAAAGTCACACTTGTCTCCCAAACCACTGAACTCTTCAAGGATTTCCAGGTCGACAACATAGTGGCGCACACGTT